GCTGCCTACCTTCATCAGACAAAATTATACTCAATTCAGTTTGTCTATAAGTAAAATAAAAACAAACTGCATGCGGAACACAATCATCAGCACGTTTTACAACCATTTCAAGTACAGTAGAGCCTCGATTATCCGACCCCCGATTAACCGCCACCTCGGTTAACCGACCGTCCTAGTCGGCAAATTTCAAATGTCCGCTAGTGATGTGGCGCTACAATATTTGGCTATGTCTCGGCTACTTTAATATTATTTTTACGTGTTTTAGCTGGCAACACTCATTCGACCATGAAAGGGAGCCAGTATTTAAACGAGGCTTAATTTTCTAATTTTTAACGATACAATAGCAACGATTATTATTTTAAAAAATTTTTGTTAGGCTTAACATCGATGAAAATTCAATGCGAAATAGGTTAACAGCGATATACTAATATACTCATATACTAATTACATGGGATATAATAATATACTACACTAATAATGGATTTTTTCATACTTTTCGGTTATCCGACTTTTCAATTATCCGACCAACCCCAGTCCCCAATTGGGTCGGATAATCGAGGCTCTACTGTAAATGAAGTGCTTCAACAATATGTGTCTGTGACACACTAAGATTTGTCACAAATTCATGAGTTGTTATTCGTCAGTCTTTAACAACTCAGCAGTGAGGGACGTATATATACGTCCAGGGCAATTGTGTGACAGTGGTGAGGGATGTACATATATGTCAAATTCTTTTGGGGGTATCGCCAAAAACTACTGCAAAAAAAATTCACTAAAAGATGAATTATGTAATAATAAAAAAAGACTTTTCTTTACTAGACATAACTGTTTACAAAGTCTTTTTCTAAAATGATAATGAGAAAAAATGTGCAAAAAAATACTTTAAAAATTTCCATGTTTATTCTCCACTACTGGGGGTAGAACCATACCTAACTAGTCCACTGCTGAAAGGTTAACAATTTCTCTTCAACAGCTTTTGGGGGCTTGTACATTTTGTATCCTTCAGTTCAAAATTTCATGAACAAAACTTTCAAAACTGCATTTGAAACATTTGAAGTTTAGAAGTGTCTTCCCCATACATGGTACAAGTATTTTTCACTGTTTGTATAGCGTGATAGCTTTTACAAAACTTAAAAGCATGCATAATACACCCAATGTGCATTTTATCTGCAGATATTTGAATTGGTTTTATTCAAATAAAATGTGATATAAAAAAAGTTTAAAATAAGCTTGGAAACAAAGAATACAATCTCATATCTAGAATAATATGTTAAATTTCACAACTTGTAATTACATCACATATTTATGTTAAGTAAAAACAGCTGTTAATAAAAATACACAACAATGTTCTATTTAAATCCCAATAAAATTACTATGATATTGGTTGTATAAATAAAGTATTTTGCTATTCTGCATTGGGTACGTGTACTTTTTGACTTTTTTATGATTTATACATGCTAGGCTTGAAAGCTTCTTGTTAAGTTGGTGTTAAATCAGATAAAGATACCTATTTTTCCATTATATGGCCCGATTTTCCCTTCTATTTCCATGTTACACAGGTTCAGCTATATACAGGTTAATTTATATTTATTTTTGCAAAAAATTCAAGAGATCGAAGAAATTTTCCATTAATTAATGACAGGTTTTTGCTATATACAGATTTGACTGTATTTTGAGTTAATTTGTGCTGGTTTTAAGTGTGTATCTTTCTGTACGTTTCTATACTCAACAGTTGACTCAACAGTGAGAGAACAATGTTTCTAAATGGACCGTTGAGTTCTCTGTTGAGACTAGTGACGTCAGCGCTGTTTCACCGTTGAGCTCAATGGTCTCAACGACCCGAAAGACTGTAAACAAACTAACATGGCGGCTTCCATGAAAAAGTAAATTTTGCTTATAGAAACTATCCATTCGCTGCTGTGGATGCTGTAATAGCAAACAGATTAATTAATGAACAATCTGTATATGATAAAACATGTGATTGAACGATTATTTTGGATAATTTGGTCAATATTGAAATATTAAGATTTTTTTCATTTGTCCAAAATTGATTACAACCGATATTTGGCCCGCTAAGTCTTCCTAATGATATATATATTCAAGAAATTAATTAAAATTATTAAAGAAAGACCCAGTATACAAGAAAATGATACAGATATGGGTTCATTTGAATAAAAGGATTTATTCGAATAATGGTTAAGCGAGTTACTTTAATTATTAACAAAACAGTCACAATCGCCACCTTCTCGTTACTTAAGTCAGCCATCTTGAAAAGCGACCTCTCAACGAAAGCGTTTCTTTTTTCTGCAAAACGTGATGTCAGATCGTTCAACGGAGGGACTCAACGGAAAATTCACTGTCGAGTCAACCGTTGAATATAGAAACGTATGGTTTGTTTACACAAGATATTCCAGTTTTGGAGCATAATTAATTAAATGAATTAAGTATTTTGACCTAAAATGAAGCAGACTTTCATTTTATATTAAAAATTATAATTGTTAATAAATTTATATTAAACTAAACTGAAAGCAAAACTTATTCTTTTTACATTCATTTAATTTGTAATATTTTTATTATTCTTTACTTATGCTGTTTAAAAATAAATATGTTGTGAATATGTAAGCATAACATGTCAAATATTTCTTGTTTCACTTCTTTGACCATCATCAAATTACAAACTCTTAAATTTGAATAATTCAAATTTAAGAGTTTGTAATTTGATAATGATCATCACTGAAGGTAATAAAAAATATTAGCTAGCTTATATATTAAATGTATTGATGGAAGATATAGAATGTTTCTTACATATTTAGTAAAATAACCAATTAATGATTCATTACGAGGGCTGTTCGGAAAGTTCGCGGCCTTGCCTATATGCAGCGCTGCGATCAATTTAATTTTTGGCGGGAATAATTCAGCCATCTGTGCTAGAGATACGATACCAATTTCCGTTTGATTTGTCAAAAAGTTTTGCCACGACAGCTTAGCAGATAGTCAGTGTGCACATGCTTTGTCAAAAATGGAGAAGACGGAGACTCGTGCGGTCATAAAATACCTGACAAAAAAAGGGTTGACCTCATCTCAAATCAAAGCTGACATGGATGAAGTTTTGGGAGAGTCTGCTCCTTCGTACACCACTGTGAAAAAATGGACAGCCCTTTTTAAATCTGGCAGAGAGAGTGTGGAAGATGACCCTCGCAGCGGACGGCCGTCAACTGCTGTCACTGAAGAAAATATCGACAAAGTTCATGATTTGTTATTAGCAGATCACTGTTTGAAAACGCATGAGATAGCTGAAACAACAGGCATCTCTGTCGACTGAGTGCATCACATCCTAATCGAAAATTTGGGTATGACGAAGGTCTCAGCAAGGTGGGTGCCGCATCTGCTGACCGCCGAGCAAAAACGTGTTCGCACTTTGATGTCAAAGGAGTGTTTGGACTTCTACCAGAAAAACCCACAGGATTTCTTGCGTCGGTTTGTGACTACTGACGAAACGTGGTCCATTACTACACTCCTGAAACAAAAGAACAGTCGAAGCAATGGAAACACCACAGTTCGCCACCACCAAAGAAGGCAAAGACAATTCCATCAACGGGGAAAGTGATGGCCTCGGTTTTTTGGGATGCTAAAGGCATCATCTTTATTGACTACCTAGAAAGAGGAAAGACCATTAATGCTGTCTATTACTGTGAACTTTTGGAAAAATTGAAGAAAGAAATCAAAGAAAAAAGGTCACACTTGAAGAAGAAAAAGGTTCTGTTCCACCACGATAATGCACATGCAGATTCCGCTAGAATCACTGAACAAAAGATAAACGAACTTTGCTTCCAATTAGTTCCACATCCACCGTACTCAACTGATTTGGCCCCTAGCGACTTCCACCTTTTTCCAAACCTAAAAAAATTCTTGGCTGGAAAGAGACTCCACTCAAATGACAAAGTCATCTCTGAAGTGAATGAGTATTTTGCACACCTTGACAAATCGACCTATTATGATGGCAAAAAAAGCTACAACATCGCTGGAATAAGTGCATTGCTAACAAAGGAGCCTACATTGAAAAATAAAAAAAGTTTTAACATTATTTTGTTTGTTGTTCTATTTGAGGCCGCGAACTTTCCGAACAGCCCTCGTAAAAATGGTCTTCATCATTATTTATAAAAACTGTATCAGTTAAATTTACAGCTACAATATGAAATTTTAAACAATGTTTTCTTTCTTTGTTTTGCAAAATTTGATCAAAATGTAAGGTATAATTACATACATAAAAACAACAACAGCACAAGTAAACCGGAACCATATATGTATAGAATCTCACCTAAATGCACGCACGCAACCAAATTTGGGTGTTTCGTTGCTGGAAATTTTACATTTAGGTGAGATTCTATACATAATTATATACACATTCCTTCTGTTAAATCTTAAAATAAAAGTAACTCGTATAGGTATCTTCCCAATAAAAAATCTCAATTAAGAGATACATAGTTTTATTGACGATACACGAAATCGCCTCGCATCATCGATAAAACGGTATATCTACTAATTAAATTTCACATACAATTCTTGCATCTGAATCAAAGCTACTTTTTTGAATTTAACATCCTTTATATGATTATTAAAATATGAAAAATAAACAATTTGAAAAACTTTTAAAATTATTCTTTTAATTAAGTTAACTTTCTTCTCATCTCTCATTACTTTTCAGACTTAATATCTAAAGTGAAATAGGAATCACTCAGATTTAATAGCTCAGACACTAATCTTTTTTTTCATTGTAAACATTCTTCTGATAAATATATATTGTCATTGTATTCTATGTGAATGTAGCTATTTAGTTTTCTAATGTTAATCTTGTCATATAATTTATTTCGGCGGCGACAACGAACTGGTAATAATCAAGTTTAAATCATTTACATCTTGTCAGTTAAAACTCTTGTTTTTGATAATCTAACAATTCCATTTGGAAGTTAATATAAAATAATATTAAACGTAATACTTACCACGTGAAAATCAAACGGTAATCGAGGGACAAAAAGCTTAGGTTTGAATTGACTTGTTCGACCCATTCCACGACGTCCCCTTATGCCTCCTCTCATTTTTTCTCTGAAATTGATATAAAAATTAAAAAATCGATCAATCTGACTGTTTATCGAAATCACAAACTATCTACTTATTACTAAATCATGAAAAATTATAAAAAATAATCGTTTGACTATAACATTACCTCCAACCAATTAATATTATATAAAATTTGTAATAAAATTCAAAAATTCACAATATTTCAAGACAAAAGCTCCGGCACGATTTTACTCTAACAGCGCCCTCTAAAATAAAAAGTAATAAATATAATTTTAAATATTTAATATATTTGAATCGGATATTTTAAAAACACAACGAAGCATTTTTTATAGGTTATAATACCCCACTCGATGAGAAATAAAATAAAATAATGAAAAATTATAAATAAGTTTTAATTCATTCGTACTGAAACTTTTCTTGATGACAAATAAAATTTGTTCTTTTTTACATTAAACTTAATAAAATTTTAAATATATTCGATAATAAATTATTTTCAGTTTATTTAAGTTAAATATATCTAAAATTGATTTTTAAAAATATAAAAACATCAATTTAAAGAATATTCCATATAAAGTATTTTAAAGTTTCTTAAGAAATTTATAAGTTGTTTTTAAAATAAATTATCAATGTTTTAAATTATTATTTGATAATTTAAAACATTGATGGTCAATACCGAGACGATAAAGGCATCAGTCACTCCGGGAAACTTGAATTCGAGATTTAGGAATATTAAGAACTTTCGTCGGTGATCTTTCCCAGATACGCCAAGTCCTTTCCTCGCCGCCCAGACGTTTCTATTGGTTGCTCACTAATGGCCAAAATCACTGAACATTGGTAGTTGGGCGCGGGTTTGCGTCTTGCAACAGGTTGGTCACATGGAGTTTTACGGGTTTCGTTCGTGTCTAAATACGGACCAAATACATCAATTTCAAATAAGTAAGAGCTCCAGAGACACATCCCACGTGGCATGTTTTACGTTGCTTTATTCCATAAAACAACCGTTTACATTGTGGATTTGGTCGAAAACTATAATGGGTGAGATTTAAAAAGTCCTTTTATTGCCCACAGGACGGGGGGGGGAAATACATAACTCATATATGCATGCATTGACAAAAAAGCTGAACTCAGATAAAATGATCCGATTACTGCAAAATTCGGCAACAATTATATCTCAGGTAAGTAGTTGTGATCCGATACGTCGGCAATTAATTCTACCGAGTACCTTAAAATCGCTATCCTAATACTGTATCTTATAAAAAGGCTCGAAGAAGCTTACTGTGTTCAGAAATTTTAAGTGCAATGGTTCGAGATATTATTCAAACCATTTTAATTTTGTTAATTTATTTATAATCTTTTTCTATTATTTTAAATAAATTTTATAAATAAAATGACAAATTAGATCTTTTAATCACATATAACAATACATAACTTTAGCATTATTCTAAATATTTTAATAAACATACTGATAATATTCGTGTACAACAGATTTAAATTTTATGTTTTAATTAAGTCTCTGATATTCTGGACATTTAACTTATATTTAAACTTTCAGAATGAATATATTCTTCTATAAACAGGGCTTCTGATCATTGGTTCAGGCTCCAGTTCTGTTCCAGATGATTTTTTAGCTCCAGTACAACTAAACATTTAATTTATAAGTGCAATTGTTTGAGATAAGAATACATTACGAAACAATTTTATTTTATTAATTTCTGTTTTAATCGCTTTATATAAATTTTCTATAAACAATAGAGCTAGATATTTTTTATCATATACTCGTATAATAAATAATTTTATCATTATCCTCAGATATATTAAACTGTAGCGGTTGTATCCTGTTGACTTGCTGTTACGGACTGTAACAGAGGAAAGAATATGACAAACAAACATTGTTTTCATTAGGCTACCACTACAAACTTTGTTAAAATACTGTATATATATTGTAAGAAAGACGGAACGTGTCCTCGTGTTTCCAAAGAAGACGATTAACTCATTAAAACTGCATTTGGTCTCCAAACCTTTTCTCCCTCTTCAGTAGTTTTTTCTATGAACTCGTAAATGCTCTCTCTTCCGAGGGAGAGGGAAGAACCTCTACAAAACTATATTTAAAGAGTGGAAAATCATAGAGATAAAAATCAAATACTGTATAAATAAGCAATTAACTAATATAGGCCTATACTATTCACTAGTTATTTATCATTATTATCCTTGAAGTTGATTGAAAATTTTTAACTTTTACCGCCCTGTGGGCACTAAGAACGACTTTTTTAAAACAAACCCATTACAAATTCGCCCATGCCTACTGTGGGGGGTCGGGTGGTGAATGAGGCCCGATAAACCAGGACGGATCACACCCGAAAAATTCCTGGGGTTTCTCAATCTGTCTGGATTCGATCCCGGATCCCTAGGAGCTGTAGGTGCCAGCTAAGGAACTTGCAAACAAACGAGAAATTTAAAGCTTATCTATATACAAGGTCTGTCAGGAAAGTTCGCAACTTTGCAAATGGAAATTGTTTGCATTTACCTAAAAGCTAGTCAGTTTTGTTGCCGTATCCCCTCTCCAGTCGATATACTAAATTCAGCATTTCTGCCATGAAAAGAATGCTTCCTGAAACGCTTCTTTTGGGATGATGCGCAGCTCCTCTGGCAAATTTTCTTTAATGACGTCAATGGATTCAAAACGGTGATATTTGCGAGCGGATTTTAATTTAGGGAACAAAAAGAAGGTTGCTGGGGCTTAGTCCGGTGAATTTAGAGGTTGGAGAACAAGTGGCGTCGAGTTCTTGGCCAATAACTCCATTATCATCAATATTGTGAGAATGGGAGCATTGTCATAATGCTGTTCTCTCCAAGCAGTCTGTCTTTTCTTCCTCATTACTTCACGGAGACGTTTTATCACCCCAGATGGTATTCCTCATTTACTGTCGTCCATTCTGAAAGAAATTCCCGTTGAATGATATCAGAATCGAACAAAACCTTTACATTCGACCAAAGTTATCGCGTTATTTTGGGCCGCAGTAAAGATTTTCCCACCCACTGTGATGACTGACATTTTGTTTCCACGTCGTACTTACAGATCACGTCACCAAATTTCATGAAAATCATCATCCCCAGTGATGATGTTTTTATCGTAAACGTACTGATCAAAACATTAATTCACCTAAAAAGAATAATTTTTTATTACTGTATTTTATGATATATAAGATGCACTTCCATTTCAGCACAAAATATTTAGAAAAAAGTATTTACTTTAATTTTAATATATTTAAGCAATCCCGCGCCTTTGGTATTTGGCATTTTTTTTTTACTATATTCTGGTTTACAAAAAGTAAAATTTAGAATGCACGGTTTTGTTTATCAAGAAAAAACAGGAGTCCTTCTTGGAAACTTGTAAACTTGGGAAATCCTTCACGGAAACTTCCCACAGGTGGGTGAAACATCCCCCGCCTCAAAAAAGCTCGACAAGTTCGCTCAAATGTTAAGGTGATGTTGACTGTTTTTACGATGCAAAGTGGGTTGTGCATCACGAATAACTTTTTGTATCTTCATGTTGTGAATCATCTGTATCTGATTGGAATCTTAAAAAAGGAGAGACTTTAAACTGACCCAAAATTATTTGTACGTATCTATTTGTAGTTATTATTTAAATAAATAATAATAACAGTAGTTTTTATTAAAATATGTTTAATTAAACAATAGCATTTCTATTTAAGAGTTTATTAAGTAGAAATCATCTGTGGCCTGCCTACTGAAGCCCTACTTAAGGTTTGAAAAATTCATTACTCTATGTGAGATCGCAACTTCATATATAACTTTTAAACAAAATTCGCGTCTTATATGCCGTAAAAAAATTAAAATTATTTAAAATAATCATTTAAATAATAATATTATTCATAAAAAATTTATAAGAAAAAATTGGATTTGTGAAATATACAAGGAAATTATTACATTTATTATAAAATTGCAATAATTACTATACACAATAATATAAACATCATAATAATATGCCTAATAGCATGTTTAAAAAATCCTGCAACGAGTTGCGTGACATTCCAGGCAAAAACACTTAAAATTGCATGTGTTACCATCTGTTATATTTCATTTAAAAACTTTTTACTTCATTAATTATTATAAAATGGCAAAAAGCTTAATTTTGAGGATGGACATGAATTTTATAAAAAAAAATTGTAAATGCTAATAACGAGTAAAATTTTCTTTAAGTCCGACTGCAGTCCAGATATGACACATGGCTCCTCTATTTTCCTAACCCTTGACCTTTAACCATTAAAATTTAATATCATCAATCCTCTAATACACAAACCTCCCAGCAAAAACACACAGATCCATCCATTCCATACATACGGGAAAAAACTCCAAATTTTTTTGTATTTCTCGATGTTTCATGGTCCCCTTAGTCCAAAAATGTAAAAATCATGCGGAGTCATTTTTTGACCGATTGCCATATTTTCCCTCTTAAGGCTGTTATACACGTTACGGAAATCCTCAAAGGATGTACAGTTATCCCTTAATAATCCGACAGGTATGGGACCAAAGGTGTGTCAGATTACCAAAAGTGTCCGGATTACCGAAAATAATTACATATTTCGCATTGTTTTGCTAGCAGTAACTTACAATATTCTCTACTCCAACTGTTCGAACAGAACTGCTCACATAAAACACACGAAATGTGTGTCATCGAGTAAGAATTGGATGGGGAGATTCACATCGCGACATGCTTCTGTGCAAGCAGACACGTAACGGGGACGGGTACCTTGACGGGAGGTGCGTCGGACTACTGGGCATGTCGGATTAAAAAACGTCGGACTATAGAGGGACAACTGTACTTAACAGACGAAAAAAAATCGGATATAATTGGCTGGATCGAACATAGTAATTTACAAAACTTATTAAAATATTTCCCAACGTATAAAAAATTATTTTTATTTAAAGGTGGATAGATAGAAAAAAAATCACGGTTAATCCTCAAAGGATTTCCGTAACGTATATAACAGCCTATATATTATACAGTATATAACAACCGGAAAAGTAAGATTTAATATATGATTTATTTATCACTAACGAAAAATATAATTTTATCCAAATTTATATTAAAATAACAGACAATTTGCATTAATCTTTGTAAGTATAATATTTATTATCGAATTTCCGTTAATTTGCTCATGACTTGATGCATGTGTTGGTAGCATTATCACAATGAAGACCTGTAGTACATTCACTTGTAGGAGGAACACCTTTAATGGGAATAGGGCAATCTGCTCCTTTATCTGTAAAATAAGATAATGTTGAAAATGAACATGATTTTCAGTTTACAAAGATCGTGCATAAGAAAAAATGCTTATAATTTTTAAAGACAGTTTATTACATGATAAATCGTTTTACGGATTATTAACTTATATCTCAGTCTTAGGTCTAAATTTAAAATCGAACGTAAAAAATATAGAACAAACATAAAATAATTCATAAATATTCTATCCATGCGATGATACAAACTTAACAATAAACATGTTGATTTAGAATACGAAAATTCAAACATGAATTCTTACATAAAAAAGAAACATAAAAAGCAAACATACTAAATAACTCGCAACATGTACAGTACAGTTATATTAGCAGCTAAATTAACATAAACAAACGTGTTTTGATTTTTACATCCTTAACTTAAGTGTTAACAAACTTCGGGTCAAAGTTCGTGCTAAGCCGTTTATAGATCTAGAGCGAGAGCTGTTCTAGTACAGTCCGCGAACAGTTGTAGAACAATTAGCAAGTTTGTCTTCAAACCGGTACTACAAAAATTTTGTTCTCAAACATTGAATCCCATACACAAAATGTCAAGAACCGTTCTGAAACATGCCATTGTTTTGGAGAAGACGCTACGCTCGTGAACAACTGGGAAGTTCCCAAACTATTCGCGAAGTTCTTATTTTAGTTTATATGCAGCTTTAGAGGCTTCTCGTTTATTAAGCCACTAGACTTTGGCCGGAAGTTTATTTATTCTTGCTTGCGCGTACTCTTGTTGGCTTTTGCTAATGAGCAAACCTGCAAATTTATTCTTTATCATATATTATTTTCGTTTACAACCTTCCTATTCCTATTACTCTTATTATTAATGACTGGATGGCCGAGCAGTCAAGGTGGGAGCCTACTGCTCTGGATGATCCGGGATCAGAATCCGGACGGATCGTAAAATCCCCGGGAATTTTTCAGGTGTTGCTCCTTTTGAAAACATCGGGCCTCCTCTCTCCATTATGGATTCGGCCAGGCCCACATTGGGGCGGCCGGGTCACCATCCAGCCGCTTAAATGTGGGCCTGGCCGAATCCATAATGAGCCTGCTAAAAAGGAGGCCTCTTAGTGTCCACAGGGCGGAAAGAGTTAAAAAATTACTCCTACTATTAGTATCCTATTAAAAAGTTTATTTTATTGTAATAATAGCAATATTAAACTTACATAACTGTATAACACACAAATCACAGCATCCACAGAAACCACCATTCTTTTTTACTCTCCCATTTTTATTTTGACAATCACTCATATCTTCGCACTCCATGCTATCACATATATTTGGTGGACATACAATTGCATAAACCATTATGAACGCAGAACAAAATATTCCAAGAAACAATTTATTCTGTTAAATAAAGAAAATAATTTAACAAATATGTTAATTAAAAACTTGTATAAATGAACTTTTATATAATGAATTTTATAATAATTATTATATTAGTCACGTAAACCTAATACAATACCCGACCAAACATCCGACAAGTTTGAAACCAAAAGTGGTCCAGATTTAGAGATTTTCCAGTTTCCTGGACACAGATTAAATATGCATCATATTTTACAGCATGTAGGACGCACTTCCATTTCAGCACAAGATATTTAGGAAATAATTTAAAATATATGCTCTTCACCTCAAATTAGTAGTGGCTTGCCCCTGTACATTATACTTTTTCTTTATCAGTAGTGCCGGTCATCTATCTAACACCTTTTAAGGGAAAATTTTTGAATTGAAATAAAATTACTTCCGGTAGGCAGGCAAAGCTTGTATATAGTTAATCGAGACCTCCTACTTCTAAAGTTTCCAAATCTAATATCGTCTTTCATCTATCTAACTTTGTTCTCGAGGTTAAGGAAAGACAGGCGGACGAACGGATGGACGACAGTGGGAATTTATAGATTTACAATTTTTTTCAAGCCAAAAAAGCAGCCAAAAAAGTATTTACTTTAATGTATTTAAGCCATCCCGCGCCTCTGGTATTTGGCATCATTTTTTAAAACTACATTTTAGTTTTTTAAAAAGTAAAATTACTTCCTAGAATCCACACATTTATTTATCAGGAAAAAAGCAGGAGTTTAAAAGAAGTCATTTACCATTAAATTATTCTATATGAATAAATGCAAAAGCAGCTTAGCCGTAATAAGAAAAAAAGTAATTACAACAATAATTATAATTATGTTTAATTAAACAATAGAGAGGTTGCTGCGGAAGTTTTCATCTCTAAAACGTGAACGTCGAACGTTGAGCTCTACCATCTTAAGCCTAGAAGTTTGACAATGGCCGAGCATGATTCCAATGACGTTCTAAACGCCATTGTCAAACTTCTAGACTTACAAGATGGCGGCGCTCAACGTTCGAGGTTCGCATTTCAGAGATGAAAACTTCAGCCGCAATCTCTCTAATAACATTTTTATTCAAGAGTTGGTTAAGTAGAGGTTATCTTTAGCCTACTGAAAACCTACTGAAGGATGGAAAATTCATTAACCTACGAGAGATCGCAACTTCACATATAAGACGCAGGGCGATTTTTGAGCCTTTTTTTGAACAAAAGTTGTGCCTTATATGCCGTAACAAACGGCACTTAAAATATAAAATAAAGAATGGATATCGTATTTAACACACGTATGCCAGCAGTCACTTTTTTTTTATACTCTTTCCGCCCTGTGGGCATTAAGAGGACCTCTTATAGCAGGCCCATTATGGGTTTGGCCAGGCACACAATGGGGCGACCGGGTGGTGAGGGACGGGGCCCGACGTATCCGAACGGACCATCCCCGAAAAATTCCTGGGGATTCCTTCACCCGTCCGCATTCGATCCTGGGTCTCCCAGAGCGGTAGGCTGCCACCTTGACCGCTCGGTCATCCGGCCGTCTGCCAGCAGTCACTGGAACTGGTTTCGTGCGATGTGTATGCCACGAGAATCAAAACAAAGCGGCCGCATAACGAACTTTAGCTGTACTAAAGTCCGCCAAATTCAAAACTAGCCAGTTTTTAAAACAACTGATTTTCCGGTAATTCCGGATTTCTAGAAACTGGATATTTGATCTGGTACTGTAAGAATAAAAGACGCTTATATACCGTAACTTAAAATTATATTTTAATTTATAATCTAACTATTTAAAAATTGACATTATCAATTCAAAATTTACCATTTTGAATGCGCTTTCTTCGAATATTGAGTTCCTTTTATCTAAAAAAACAAAAAACAAATAATTTCAAGTTTAGTCTTAATCACATGTTTACAAATCAGTTATGATTTTTAGATGAATGAGGGATCCCTAAAATATATTAAGTTCAAACATCTTTGAAATACAACACTGATCTATCAATAATATAATATTTTTGTATAATGTAGCAATTGATTTCGTCGGCTGTTTAGTTAAGATTAGGGTTTCTCAAACGGAATCCCGGTTGTTTTTTTAACCCGGGAAATTCTCATCCCGGGAAATCCCGCAAATTTTTTAAAAGTTTACTTTTTTCTTATTTCGTGTTAAGGTTGAGGAAATTTTGCAAATAGAAAGTATAATTAACCCTTTTCTACCCAAAGATATTTTTCTTAACATAATTCTGCATGGTAGGTAGGTAGAATTTGTTCCTAACTTTGTTCGCCTTTCTTCGCTACATTGTTGTTGTGTTCAGCCGTTATTTTAGTGACAGCTTTATCACAATTCGTTAAATATGATAAATTATAATCATTTATCTTTTTGCTAGTTGAAAAGCCTAACGGCATCGTTAACAGAAAGCCATTTCTACCGGAGAGAGAAATGGCTTTCTGTTCAATTATAGCGATCACTCATTCTCTTCGATTCTTATAACAGAAATGTCATCTAAAATGCAAAAGAGAGAATATCACATTATGATAGTTATTGGTTTGAAACATTGTACTAATCACACCCCTCATTTATAACATGCGCGGCTATACTATCTATATTTTGAATTAAATGAACCTGCCCTTGACATAGCCATCGCAGAAGTACAGTACGTTCAGGATCGATGTCAACAAGTTTATCTTCGAAGTCGTCATCATCAATAAGAAAGTCAGAGTAATCAATGCTATTTGAAGCATTAATAAGATAGTACGCTATATTTTAAAACTGGTACTGTATTTCTTTTCTCGCTGGTTATATTTTTCCTCAAGGAATGCAAAGGCGGACATTGTAATTCCGTCGTTGAAGACGCGGAAATACTTTTAACGCTGTTTCTTTTTTCTTTTTATATATAAGCCTTTCTGTAGTATTTAACGAATTCAGACAAAAAGATTCCATCGAAATACTGTGGCTGCTTATTATGTTTTTCAAGAAAAGAGCTTTGTCCTTCGACATCAATGAGGCTGAGCAATCACGATCAATCGAAATTACTACAAAGTTCTTGAGACCCTGAACAAAAGACAACCCATTAACAAATGAGCGACTTCTTGTGCTCTTTCAGAAACAGAAGACACCAATAATTTATCAGAGAATTTTGCAATTTTCTTAAAAAGCTCCGCATATGATTGTGACAGCTTTTCACATTTAGACGCATATTTTCGATAAAGTTTAAAACAGCGTTTTTAGAAACCGCTGGAGTGAAATGTGAGAGATCTACCCATCTAGCAAGGTCTATATAGACCTTGCCATCTAGCATAGCACTATGTCGCCATCTACTAGCATAAATGTAGATTTTTGTTGATTTTTAGTGTTTATTAGCGATAATTATGTAAATTTTTAACGCATTTTCCTCAAAATTTTATCAGTGATGTCTCTCATCTTGCTGTTTGATAAAAATAAGACGAGATTTCGTTGAGTTAACGGTCAGGAAATCGATTATTTTTGAATTATGTCTGAACTGTAAGTGAAGACTAAAAATATCTCGTGATAAATATTTATAATAAATATTCAAAATTCATAATTTACAACTATGCAAACGTTAACTTAAGTTAATGCAAAATGATTAAAATATTTTATATACAAGGGTGGTGCAAAAGAAGGTATACAGTTGTTAATATGGAAAGAAAACATGCAGGAAAAATCATTGATCTTCACACATAAATTAAATCACAAATAAGGAATACGAAATAATAAAAGAAAAAAATAATGAATACCAAACATCTGTATTTCTCGGATTCACAATTATAAACCTACCTTTGCACCTCTGTATATTATATTAATTAACGCAAATAGAAAGTTTAAACATACGATACCTGCAATCTAATATTTAAATATTCAAAGGTGATTGTGTTATAAATGTAATAAACAATGTACTGTATTAATGATTATGCAAGTTAAAGAATTGCATAACGAAAAGTTTGAAGGTTTGCAAAGATTGGTGAGTCATCTATCCAATAATTTAATTCAGAACGCATCTGTTATTATAGATATAATCATTATGTAAATTACTAATTTTACTGGAAAAATTATATAAGATATGCAAAATTATAAAATAATACAATGAAATTTTTAAATGTAGAAATTACATACGGCTTGTATTAAGGATATCTAATTTGAATAAGTTACAAGTTTAAAAACAAACCTTGTTGCAATGGCGCTGAATATAGCGATGGGCAAAGTAGTTGTTTGTAAATAACATTAACAAGTTGTTGTTATTATTTATTTAAAACTAACTGTTAAAAATAAATAGGCAAAAAAAAAAAGAACAATTTACTAGTGCTCCAAAATCATCGATTTTCTAACATTTATTGCTCTGTCTGCTCTCCAGTTGTTATTTATGCAAGGACGCTCATGACATACTTTGTACAGGATGTTATTTTTGACTTTTCATTTTTATTTTTTAAATAACAATCTGTTATTGTTTTTCGAAATAATAGGTTGGCAAATAACCGTACTAGCATCCTGGTGTGTATAGTATTCGTACTTTTGCGGTTAGTTTTACGTACAAGGTCTGATCAAAAAGTATCGATCTTATTTTTTTCTTTGAAAGTATTTGCAAGCTGGAGAGGAGATCATGTTGTCATGTCACGTTGGACCCTATTGCATGTGTGTGAATTTTGACGACCCCGTTCTATCCTGCAGTCACTGTCATGCAGTCGTGATAGTTGCATGTTTACGACTGCATGACATATTACCAAACCACTAATACGACTGCATGATGTTTGTCGTATTAGTGGTTTGGCAGAACATGATCCTAATTTCACGAAGATTATAACAAGAGATGAGATCTAGGTCTACTGATATGACCTGAGAAGAAGGCATAATTATCCCAGTGGAAAATGCCTTGATCTCTAATCTCTACAGCCAAAAGAAGGCACAACAATCACGTAGCAATGTGAAGGTCATGTTGACCGTTTCTTTCGACCACCTGGACATAATTTATCATGAATACGCCCCTCTTGAACAAACTGTGACAAAGGACTTAATTATACATGACTGTTTTACATCGCTTATGAGATGCTGTTAGTGCAAGAGATCATAGCTCTAATAGTCTGGCGACTAGTTCATTCATCACAATGCTCCTGCCCATGGATCGCATCTCATCCAAATATTGCTTGTAAAACAGGGTATTGCACAGGTTCGGCAGCCTCCTTACTCCCCAGACATGACTCCAGTCGACTTTTGGCTCTTTCCAAAACTAAAAAGCCGCTCAATGAAAAGATTTCAAGACGCAGAGGCGATCAAGACTAATCCGACGAAGCGGCTGATGGAGGTCTCGATAAATGACTGAAAAATGTTTCCAACAGTCGAAGCATCGTTGGGAGAAGTGTGTAAATTTTGTAGGGAATAGTGAAAAAATAAAAATTGTCCTGGTTTTTATTTCTTTTCCCGAGATATTTTTGTTTTCAATATACTAGGCCATCTTAATCAAAAGTTGTTATAACTGAAAAATTAAAAATTAAATTTAAAAATATTTTATATAATGGTCGATATCTATTCTAAAAATTGTTCCTACATGACGAAACTTGATAGGATTGACACACTAATTAAATTCTTTAAAGGCGCTGTCCGTAAATGATGTCCACGCTAGGAGGGAGAAAGGAGGTAATGACAAATCGGATAAGGGGGAGGGATTGAGCTTCAGTGGACGTCTGTTCATTTCATTGAGGCAGAGCGTTAGCCAAGCTTCTTTTACGTGGCTTGCAGAATATTTGTTCTCAAAATCTGATCGATCGATTTTGATTAAACTTAGCAATTTTTCATTAATTGCAACGAGGAAACCAAAAATGTAACAATTGTCTATTTAAATGTAAAAGTAGAGGTCCATGACTTCGTTTTCGATATATAGAGGGGTTAAGTCTTTTGTCAGTGAAGCAGCATTGAACTAGAGAATATTCCATATTTACAATCTTACAGTAATTCTTAATTTCTGCAACTTCGTGGTTTTGTTATAATGCTAATGTTTCCTTCTTTCACGAGGAAACGTTCTAGAGGAAAACTGTGTGAAGGATTATCAATTAAAGCAAAACCAAACGTTCAATGTACAGTACATTAAAATAAAAAACAAAGAATTAAAATATGAAAATAGAGTAAGAAAAGAACGAAAAGTTGCACTTTTATCGTTAGATGGCAGCCGGAAAGAATCTGGGACAATAGGCCGTCCGGATAAGTTTACGAGACGCGGAAAAATTTAAAAAATCGGGACATCAGGCAACCCTTTCTACATTCATTTATTTTTTTCCATGACACCCGTTATTCCCAACTTGTCCTCAATTGAGCACGTTTGAGACATAATGGGACCTATCTTTCTTTATAACAGCTATTGTACTTGATACAATCAACGATTTGAGGAAATTTAGAATTTCTTGGTAATTGTTGGTTGGTTGGCGTTTTTTGACACAAGAACCATACAGGCCATGCGGCGCAACAAAACAACAGGATATATAAAAGGTAAATAAAAAATCAAATCTGCCTATTCCAGAGTCCAATAGCTTGTCAAGATTTGGCCTTTAGCCCAATCTCTCTGACATTTCAAAAATACTGTCTATGCCTCCTCTCGAAGGCAGGGCAATTGTACAGTGTGTTTTACACTTAGAGCGCAGTTGCAACACCGGCATACTGGCTGGTCATCATCCTTCAGAAGTTATTGATGAGTCAGCCGAGTATGTCCAATTCTCAAACGGGTAAGAATTGCCTCAGATCTCCTATCATACTGTTTGTAGTGTGTCCAATTTTCCATCATAGGTTTGATCTCGTGTAGTTTATTGTGGACTTGGGCGTTTCACACATTTTGCCATATCTCTGCTAGTCGTTTTTTAACTAGCTTCAAATCACCTCCTTCAGTAGGCATTGTATACTGTGAAGGACTTGTCGACTTTGTAGCTGCGTCAGCTTCTTCATTTCCTCTTATACCTACATGGCCTGGAACCCAACAAAATTTTACAGAGAAATTACTCGCAGAAAGATGGAAAAACAGTTTACGAATTTTAATCACTATGGAGTGAGAACTAGGTTCACATGAGATCAAAGCCTGAAGTGCACTAACAATGTAAGTCAGTGTAAATAATGCAGCAACAATGACATGTTTTGATTGTTTCTCAGCATATATGACTGTATGACCATTCTACGAAGGGTAGCAGTTTGTATTGCCAACTAACAATGAAGGAACAGTAAAATTATCATCTGTTAAAAAAGCAAGTTTTCAGTTGGAATCAATACTAAAGTTTAAAGATCCTATTTTGTGTATTTCAATCACACTTATTTTAATATTAATTTCTCAAATACCACTATTTTTTGGACTGTTTATTTGACACCATTATTTCACATTCTATTCAGTTAATGCATGGTATGATTCAAAATTTGCAAATGAGGGAAACATCTTGAGAAAAAATAGCAAATGCTAAAATAGCTGCACAACAAAAGGTGTGTTCAGAAACAAGTCTTTGACAGTGAGTGGAATAATGTTCCATGAATTGATTCCAAGTAAGTTGACTTTTGCATACAGTAATACCTAGGGTTGCCACCTCAGAACTTAGTCTCGCCCGGAGACGATGATTTAAGAAACAAAAAAAACCCCATATGCATACATATACAGTTTTTTTATTTATATAAATCCCTTAAAAAACAATTAAGTGTTAATCGTGCGTCATTAAAGGTTGATTAAAATCGCGATAAAATTTTTTCGCGCGGGTAAAAATTTTTGAATTAAAAAACATAAAAATATATATATATAGGTCAATATATATTTTTTTGAGGGTCCAACAGACCGTTTGTTATGTAATGCTATTTAACCTGCTCAAGTCTAACTCTAACTATATACTATAACTTATCATTAATCATCAGCCAACATGAACACTGATTATCAAACTATCAGCTATGTACGCTATATCAGTTCACTCTCAATAGAAATCTCTTGACAGAACAGTCACAAGAAAGAGTACATGCAGCAGCACTGCACCTATGCCAGTTATAGACGTTGTCTTTAAGCCAACGACTACCACACTAGTAATTCGGTACACGGGGGAAGAAATATATGCGACGGTTTGCATATAATTTTGTACATATTCATTTCAACTTGCACAACCCGGAGAAATATTAATTAACCCCGGAGCCCGGAGATAACTCATTCAATCCCGGAGTCTCCGGGTCAAACCCGGACAGGTGGCAACACTAATAATACCTCGACTTACACGAACCCGGAGTTACCTTCCCCCAATATTAGAGGTTGAGGCAGACGTTTTAAACGTGTAGGACGGACGTTCGGTGCCGCTTTCCCGTTAAGCCTAAAAGTTTGACAATGGTGTTTGGATAGTCGGTGGAATCATGCTCGACATTCCAAACACCATCGTCAAACTTCTAGGCTTACGGGAAAGCGGCACCGAACGTCCGTCCTACACGTTTAAAACGTCTGCCTCAACCTCTCTATTAACTAATTACTATTAGTCCTATACCAGACAAATAATCGCACATATCAGTGTTGCCACGCCGATTTGCTTGCCATCGGTAGTTTTCGGTAAATCGACTTTTTGTGGCAGAAAGGAGGTTGCACATAAACAATAACATTCTTTTTCGTCTTTTATTTTATTATACATTATAAAACAATAAAAAACAAAAAACTAACAAAGAACACTTACGTAAAAAAATAATTTTTTAAGTAGGTACTGTACATTTTGTCTTATTTTTCTAACAAAATACAGTATTACCTTTTATTTTTCGGATATTAATAATAATTATTATTATTCAATATCTTCCGTTTGTACGTTTTTAACACTGTTTCTTATTTTTGAAATTAAATGATCTTTTACAAGAAAATCGTAACATTAATTTTTATCCAATTAATTGTTTAGTAAGAAGCAAGCCAGTGGTTGTTTCAGAGCTCAGTTTATTTCCGTGTTTCGTGTTTAACAGATTTATTTACGAAAATATTCTTTCTACGTTAGCTGAAGAATGGGGCAGACATAAGATATTCTCAACAAAACGAGACAGAATCTTTGCAATAAAGTCTCTTACAATATATAAGAAATGAAGGTACAAAGAAATGTTTTATTGAGAATTTTTAGATACATTTTAAATAAAAATTTCTTTCTTAAATTATCGTAAACTTTTCGGTAGATTTGGTGCTTCAATCGGTAGATCGGTCCCAAAATCGGTAGATCTATCGAAAATTCGGTAGACGTGGCAACATTGGCACATATGGAATTAAAGAATATTGCCATATATGCTAAATAAAATCATGAATTTTTATGTATGTTAATGTATCCTACATTGTATGTATGTATCCTACATTGTAAAAATATTTTATGAACTTTTTAATGTATCATAACTAATTAATTTATATATATATATA